GGGAAGTGCCCGCAGCCAGCAGTTCAGCTGGATTGCTGGGGGGCGGGGGAAGAACCAGCACATGGCTCAGCTGGGAATGGGGAGAAGACACGCAGAACCGGCTGGCTGGGGTATGTGTGCAGGGAACCCATGTGCCACTCAGCTGGGTTGCAGGAATGGTGGGGGACGGGGAGGGGGGCGGAAGCCCTGTGGAGTGGGAAGGGAGCACGGCAGTAGGGAGCCTGAAATTACCTTCCCTGGTCTGGAAAAATCTCTCATCCAGGACCAGGCCAAGGATGCCAGACCAGGGAGGTCCAACTCCTACCCCAAGTTCCCTCCTACACTCTCCCTTCTGGCCAGACACCCAACCCGCAGTCCACTTCTGCACCCGCAGTCTACTCCTAGCCAGACACTCTACCTCCACTTCACTCCTGCACCCTCCCTCTTGACAGACACCCTACCCCCACCCTGCTCCTGCATCCTCCCTCCTGGCCACACACTGCACTCTACCTTGCTCCTGCTCCCTAGCCAGAGACTCTACTCCCACTCTGCTTCTGCACCATACCCCCCAGACAGACCTCGCAACCTCTCCCCATTCTGCACCCCCCCAGATCTTACACCCCATCCCTATCCCACTCACTGGCAGCCCTGTACCACACACTGAACCCCTCATTTTTGTCCCCACCCTAGAACACAAGGGGGTCCATACAATTTATCAGAAAAGTAAATCTGATCTATGAGAAGCCCTAAACCTCAGCCCTCCCTGTCACTTCCCCTCGCCCGATGGGGCTGGAATGCCAGAGGGGTGAGGTGTTTCAGGTGGGGGCCACAGTGAGCATTGGGGGTGGGGGAGGAGTATTTTTGGTTCTCACTTATATGGTTTCCCACCTGATTTTTCTGTGATTCAGTGGCCCCTGACCCAAAAAAGGTTGCCCACCCCGCCATAATGAACACATTGAAAACTTTTGTGTTGGACATCAATTATTTTACTTTATTTAAAATGAAGTTTGATAAACTAACATGAGAAAGTTAAAATGCTTAACCTGTTTATACATTTAAACCATTCTCCCTAGCTGCAGCACTAAGAAAATGGCTTGGGCATAATTTATGTAATTAACGGTACATTTTCTTTAGTAACTGGTAGTCTATGGAAAGGTTTACATTAAGCCAGGTGGTTCATGGACCAAAACATTTGAGAACCACTGAAATAGAGGAACTCCTGGCCTCTCCCCTCAAATGAATGCAGTGCAAGTTGGATTAATGCAATTTCAATATAGTTGCATGAGAGAGTCCTAAGGGGCCCAAATCCATCCCTATTGGTAAAGGACAGTGGGAGGAGTTTTTAGATGGGTCACAAGACCCCTTTTACTTCCAGTTATGTGTCCATCTTGACCCTGGAAGTACTACCTTCAGGGGTGGGATTTCATGTGTCAGATGGGTGGGGCCTAAGAGATCAAGGGCATGGCTAATGAGACCAAGGAGTGTGGCTAATTTTTGGTTCTGAAAATATGGTCACCGTATATTTGCTAGCAGCCAGAAGAAGGTCAAGGACTATATTCCGCCTGCACAACCCAAAAATAGCACTTAAGAAGAGAGAGGCCCTACACTGGAGGAAAAGGAGAGACAATGGAATAGGCTTGTTTTCTGTGATTAGTGCACATAAATAGAGTTGAAACTGTTGTCCTGCCAGTGCTCCCCTATGGTACATTTAATCAAAGTGTGGTAAACACAAGGTTCAGTTTTGGGCAGCAACTCCAGAAAGATCTGCATACACTGGAGAGAGATGAGAGGAAAGCAAGAGCAATAAAAAAAGGGTTGCGGCATAGGGAGGGAAAGAAGAAACGATGTGAGGAAAGATTAAATGGTCTGGGTCACACATAGTCCTGAGAAATGAAGGCTTAATTGTCTTCAGCACATAAGGTTATAAAGAGGCCAGCAAATGATTATTCTCACTAGTCAACAAGAACAGAACAAGAACTAATGTGAGGGAGCCACAAAATGGAAAACTTGGGGTAAGAAGTAGGAAAGGTTTTATAACTCAAATAGTCAGTGGAACAAGTTGCAAAAAGTAGCAGCCCACCCCCCACTGGAGATATTAGACAGCCATCTTTTGTTACAATCTCCCCTGCTATGATGCAAGAAGGTGAACTAGAAGTCCTACCTACATAGGTGCCTTGAATATTTTAAATAGAAAGGCGGGGTAAAATATTTAAAAAAATAAATAAATCAGAGGATGGGTAGCCTATGACTCACCTTGGTTATATTTTTAAAATATAACATTTATTTAATAAAACAACATCTGGGGACTTAATTCTCCAAAGAATTTAGCATTTTGTTTCAAGTCCTGGACAATTTATCACAGAATTCAAGGCAAACAATAATTTTTGCTAGAAATGATGATAACGAAATGTCCAAAAACTTTAACATTGATGATGGAGCTTCGGAATCTTTTGAGGCATTTTGGAAAAATAAATAAATAAAGAGCAGAAAGTTGACCCAGGAAGGAGACCCTGGTAGCAAATTGTCAGTGTAGAAATAAAAACACAATAAATTAAGCAGCTGTCTCAGAAGAGCACTCACAGCTCCATCAGTTGGGACTGCTTATGTTTAGGAAACCAGACACAGAATGTACATAAAAACAGTACTGATCACAGAAATGTTGATGTAGGCTGGACTACAGTGGTGCTACACTTTGCCTCTGCATGAGAGCATCCATGAGAGCACCCCGCATGAGAGCACTATTGATGAAAAATATCTTCGTATCTATCTGGTAAAAGTCACTCATTCCATGTAGTCAGGATGGCACCAAGATCACTGTGGTACTACCTGTTGTTAGGCTAAGATATGGCCCAAAATACCATCCTGTTAACAAAAATATTATGGTATAGTAATAATTTTTCTTCTGCCATTCAAAACACAATGGTAGAGTACAAGATGGTTTGTTTTTGTGCATGGACATGCACCATTCTGGGTTACATTATCTATAATGGATTTACATAGGATTTCAGCGTGTGCCAATCTATATGTGCAGACACTTGGCCCAACTTTTTCAGCATGAGGTCACAACAAGATGTTCCACTTAGTCATGTGGGTGCCAAAGTCTAAGGCTATGTCTACACTGCTATCTCAAAATAAGATACACAATTTCAGCTATGCAAATTGAGTATCTTATTTCAATCTTCTTTTGAAATAACTTTCTTCATAATTTGGCACTGTCTACATACCACCAAATTTCAAAATAACCCACTATTCCCAAACGCTCCTTACTTCTCTGGAATGAGGTTTACAGGGACGTCGGAATGGCAAGCCCAAAATAACGGACTTGCTGTGAAGATGTGGGATAGCTATTTCGGGATTCTCCAGTATCCCAAAATAGCATTGCAGTGTAGACATAGCCGAAGTGTCCCACACTGAAAACAGGTCTTGCATTATGACTGCATAACATGTTTAGAAGAAATGTACTAACTACTTTTACTAACAGTTATGCACGATCATATCCAAAATAATGCAATATTTCAATATTGCAGTTAGAATGAGAAAACTGATATATCTGGTACAATTGCTTTGTGCTGCAGAAGCATCCCAGATTACATACAGTGTATAGACACTAAATAACAGATTCCAATATCTAAACTGAAAACAAGATGCAACCAGGGCATAACTGAAAATTGAAGGCAATAGAGAAATTGCTCAATGTGGTTAGTGTTGACATGTTTACTTCTTAACGGCAGCAACTGTGTATAGAGACCAGAACTGGCCTCAACATCAGTGGCTCAGGAGACTGACATGGGAGGCAGAACTATGACTGCACTAGCCAAAGGAGGAGCTGTTGAAAAATCTTTCTCTGACTCTATCAGAGGAGTGGGAGCTACAGGAAATCCTATTGGATAACATTCTGGATTGGTTTTGCCAATTTTTCTCATGCTTACCTTGTGAGAACACAACGAGTAGTCCTGTGGCACCTTTGGGTGCGTTTAGACGGCACCCTTTTTATGCTACGCAAATTGTGTGACTTAGTTCAAATGTATTTTGAAATAACGTGCTATTTTGAGACAAGAGTGGAACAAGGGTGGCAGGGATGCTGGAATAGTGCACCTGTTATTTCAAAATCTATTTTGAAATAACAGGAGCGGGTAAAAGACACGGAATAACTCTGCTGTTTTGACGTACCCTTAGAGTCTAACAAAAATATATGTAGTATCATGAGCTTTAATGAGCAAAACCTACTTTATCAGATGAGCCGCAGAAGAATAACAGGTCCCCAGAATTTATAACAGAAAAAGAAATGGGGGGAAAATATCTGTCAATTGTAGGCTGGAAGTGTCCCATACTTAGTTTTTGATGTAAAAAATGAGGTGTTTAAATGCAGGGAAAGCTGGCTTTATAATGTGACATCCAGTTAATGTCTTTGTTCAAGCTCTGGACAGGGCCAAGCACCATCTCAATTGCCCTGACAAGTGTTTGTCTCACTTGCTCTTAAACATCTCCAGTGACGGAGATTCTACAACCTGCCTGGGCAATTTATTGCAGTGCTGAACCATCCTGACAGTTAGAAAGTTTGTCCCAATGTCCAAGGGACAGTTAAAGTGTTAGAAAGCCTGCCATCCCTGAACTTCCTGAAAAGAGCAATCCTGCAGGGGGTTGAGCACCTTCAGTGACATATGCAGAACTTTCATCTCCCCTGGCTTCAGAATTTTGCTTCTCTCCAGATCAGGTGCAAACCCTGAACCATTTTCTCTGAAACCCACCCCTCTCTCCACCTAAGGGTTGAAATAAAATTACCCCCAAAATGCCAAATGTCTATATTTTGCTGAGTTGTACCAGTTTTGTCTATTTCTAATTGTTATGCATTCCTGTACTTGGTAACTTTTAATATGAAAGCCAGTTGTATATAAATCAATTCATTCCAACCCATATAAGCCAGCACAGAGTTCAGATGTAGACAAATTCTCACAGGGCATCTCACCCGAATACGAATGCTCTGTCAATGGCCTTTGCTGGTCTGCAGTTTCTGTACTTACCAGTCGGGAGAACTGGATCCATTGTTGGCTTTTCCCACGTGTTGAGCTGCTCCCAGGTAAATCCATTGGTCCCCAGTGCCACACTATAGCCACAGTTACTATAATGTTCATCAAAAGAACAACCACCTGAGGGCAAGAGAGATGAATAAATACTTCAATTTCTGTCTATTAATCACTTCTGTTTCATGATGTTATTTCATTTACATCAGTGTATGTATAAACTCTGCAAGGAAACACACAAAGCAAAATGAATTTCTGGCACATTAGATTTCTGTATTTGCTTTAGGATACCAAAGAAAGGCTTCCTCATCTTAACCCCCCACTTTTTTAATCTTATTTTCTTTCTCTCTCTCTCTCTCTCTCTCATTGTGTTGCTATTAGTGAGGCCAGTGATCATAAATTCATGACTTAAGCATTTAAACAGCAGTCTAGTATTTCAGTCATGAGCATGAGAATTAATGTCTGAACTTCAGTAATGCTTTCCTACCTACAGAGCTCGGGACTAGATGTTGGAATAAGAGGGAGGAGCAGAAATCCATAGGGCAAATGTTAACCATGGCTTCATTGTTCAAATTGTCAAGCCTTCCCTACCTTTACACTTTTAAATATTCAGCAGTACGAGGTGACATTTCATGACCAGGTCTCTCACACTTACCTTTTAACTTTCTAGTGCCATAGATAAGGATGTGAAGCCCCAGTTACCAGAAGCTATCATTCATAGGGTGGAAGCTCATTAAGTCAGTCTTCACTATGGTACAATATAGAGTGGATGCCATTATCAATTTCATGTGGTGTTGGTTTTGTTGCAGCATACTGTAACCCTAATGGCATTCCAGTGCAATGTTATCTGGAAGTGAGTTTCGATAGGCCAAACCTATTGGCTGTGTCTACATTGGCACCCTTTTCCGGAAAAGGGATGCTAATGAGACCAGTCGGAATTGCAAATGCCACGGGGGATTTAAATATCTCCCGCGGCATTTGCATGAACATGACTGCCGCTTTTTTCTGGCTCAGAGCTTTGCCGGAGAAAAGCGCCAGTCTAGACGGGATCTTTCGGAAAATAAAGCCTTTTCCGGAAGATCCCTTATTCATCTTAAAATCAGGAATAAGGGATCTTCTGGAAAAGGTTTTATTTTCGGAAAGATCCCGTCTAAACTGGCGCTTTTCTCCGGCAAAGCCCCGAGCCGGAAAAAAGCGGCAGCCATGTTCATGCAAATGCCGCGGGGGGTATTTAAATCCCCCGCAGCATTTGCAATTCTGACTGATCTCATTAGCATCCCTTTTCCGGAAAAGGGTGCCAATGTAGACACAGCCATTCAGTATTTCCCAACTCACTAGTACTCCAACCTGTCTTTAGAAGGTATCCTGTAAGATAGATAACAACATACTGACTTATTATTTTTGCAATTTGTATGTACAGAGGAAAAATTCAAAATTGCAAAAATATTGGACAGTATGTAATACCAAAGTGTGTCTGCCAGGTGGGACTAAAGTTACCCCACCAGAATGTGGTTTCTGAAAGGCATTTGGACACATTAATGGACAATGGAAATACAATTAATGCAGATGGTAAACTGAGGCATAAAGCCAACAAGGGGAGGAGATAACCACTCACACTATGGCAAGGGGAAGAGATTACAGGAAATAGATTGATATGCATGTAAACAAACACCAGCAAGAGGCAGAGGGGTGGAGGGAGGGAGATAAGCCAGCATGAAACTTCCTTCGCCAGAAGACTCGAGAGCATAATCCTCACAGCATGAATTAACTTTCCTTTGGGCGGTAACTTTCATAAGAATCCATTTCAAAATATTGCTTTTGAATAAAAATAACTTAAGTTATTGATTTCCAGTTTTTCTACTTTTTAGAGAGAGTATAGTTTTTCTTATTGTATTGTGCTATTATCCCTTCCTTGATCTCTGCATTCACTTATAAAGCACATGGTTAGCTTACAGCTCCAACAAACTGGCTTACCACTCACCCCTGGGTTGCAGTGCCAGCAACAGAACCCAAAGCTCCAGAAGCTCATTCTGGTGATGTATACACAAGACCAGCCTTCCTCTTTGAATGCTTCCAAACTGTTCAGTTGGATTATTTGCTTTCGGTTGTTTGTGGCATGTTATTACTCATCATTTAAGTCACAAATATTTCTGCTTCCCGATGGACTGAAACTTTTTAAAAGCAAGAGAACAACCACCAGCAAATAGCAAACAAACAAAAAAGCAAATAGCAGATGATACAGTGCAAACATTTGGCTGAATGATCATTTATAATGCAATCTGCAAAATTCTTGGAATTGGCTCACTGTCAGAAATAAACTGGCAGCTGTCTGAACACTTGTGAATAAAGAGACACCTTTGAATAATGGAATAAACTTGCCATGCTTGTATACAAATAACTTGTGTGTTATTTGACCAACACTAACCAAAAGCACTTCAAAATGAAATGCCGGGAATGAATTTATGAAGAAGAAATTCTAGCTGGCCTACAGATCATAATGCAGAACAATTACTTAGACTTTAATTAGCATATATTCTACGTAGGCAAAAACTGCATTCATTTCTCAGATTTCTATGAACCAATAGTTAATTAATACCCACAAGAAGTACTCCACATTCAACACAATACTATCTTTCCACTCATCAAGGTTCTCTCCCTCTGAGATTGCTTTTGCTTATCTGTTCTGGTTAATTACAGAAATTCTCACTTGAGCTTCTTTTTTCTATATACTAAACCAACAGTTCTCTCATTGAAAAGGTAACATAACAACACATGAGCCCTTCAACAAGAGAAAAGAATAACAGAGAATGTAGCTCAGATGTATCTGCAAAATTAACTATTTAATGATGTGTTCACAAAGGGCCATATTTCCCAGATGCATAAAAGTATGCTAGAGAAAGAATTTCAAGTTTAGGAAAAGCTACAGTTGTGTAGCATCTTCCTGATATGTATACCTGACAGCTGTCATCTGCAGAAGAGACAGCCCTGACGATGTCCTGATGGATTATTTCCACTTTATTAGAGCACCACTATTTTGTCTTGGTAACACTGCCTCTATGCACATCTTCTTCTTGGAAGCCATACCCTATTCAGAGGAGGTATAGAGCTATCTAGTGCCATGCAGAAACATATTAGCTTGTTCTGTAAGACAACTCTTCAGTTGTACCCTACCTAATAATCTGAGAGAAACACAGAGATGTTTGCTGGCTCCTTCCTTTCTTGATTTTTTTCCTACCTACACACAGAAGTTTGCACTTTTCTTTCCTGTCTTTCATCTTGTTGATTTATATCTTCGTTGATCTTGATAATAGGCTATAACAAGATTATAATCCATTATTTTGTATTATTTCAATATCCTGCTAAAGGACCAAAGTATTTTAAGGGCCAAAATATTTTGTAATTAAAAAAAAAGCTACAAAAATGAATATGAACCAATTACTTTTTGAGAGGTGAGGGGAGCAATTAGAATTTAACTATAATACCGTATTAGTGAAAAAGAAGCACAAGTAGAAACTTCCTGGTATAATTTCATTGTCCAAGGTGAGTGAAATGTTAACGCACTATACAATTAAATTTTAACCATTAAATCTTTGTTTCTTTAACATGGATTATCAATAACATAGGAAAGAATTATTATAGATACAAAATCTGACAAGTTCACACACTTTATAACCACCGCAGGCTGGATTTCTTTATCTCAGCAGAGTTTCCTGCAAAATCTGTAATAAGTGGCTAGATAAATGGAACTCCATTATTTTTACAAGTTTATAATACATCTTAACTATGAATTATACACTTGTGAATCTTTTCTGTCAAAAATGAATGGCTACATTCTATTTAGTTAACTCCTCCCCACGCTTTTTTGTTGTTGTTTTCAATCATTTAGGTTAAAGGGATCTTATCTGACTTCCTAAACTGCAACATTTTTGGATTTTAGAGCAGCAACTGAGGAACACTCAAAAGTGGCTTGATTATTTATAGTATTTCAGCACCTCTGAAAATGTCAGTGGGTTGCAATGGATCTTCCATGAGTGGGTATAGGAGGAATATTAGCAAATAAGATCATTCAGCTCAGCTATGAATCACCACATCATGAATGCGAATAGTGAAATTCTCTTGTGTATCACTTATGCTGGCAGAGTCACATTAACAGCAGGAGACTGTCAAAGCTTTATGGTGTTCTAGAATAACTGTCCAAACTGCAACATCTTAACATAGCAATGGTGTTGCTAAGCAGCTATTTTAACAGATCCTATTGTATCAGGTGCTGCATAAATACATTTTTAAAAAGACAGTTGTTGCCCCAAAATCCAAAAAGACAACATATGGATAAGATAAACAAGAAGGCAGAGTGGGGAGGTTGGGGGAACGTGCATAACAGGATGAGTGCAAGTTTTATTTATGAGGAACAATAGTTCCAATTTGCCTACCCGCCTTATCAGGATCAGCTTGAAGCTGAATGTATGCATTATGGAAGAGGTGAATTTTGAGGAAAAACTCCAAGGAGGATAAGGCAATGACTTCTCAGAAATTAAGTAGGAACTTTTTCACTTGTAAACAGCAGCATAAGAGGAAGCTCAAAAGTGCTTGTTGAAGAATCAGATGCTGGCATGGGTTAAGTGAAGGCAGAAATAAATTTTGCAAAAAGATACTGGGAGTGGATACATGAGGGGGACAAGACATTTGTGTTTGGATGGGAGGATGCTAATTCAGTCTTGAAAAGGTGGGATAAGAGGCAGAGCAATGAGACGAAGATACATTTAGCAACAGCAGCATCTTGAAGGGATCTCACAAGGTGAATTTCCAGGCAATGAGGCCAGAGAAGATATTTCAATGTGCAAGATCAGGACTTAGACAAGAGATTAGTTGTATGGGTAGAGGAGAAAGAAGCAGACAGACGCAGACACAGACAAGGCCATTTAACTTGAAGTTTCAGTTAGTGACTGAAAATCCAAGAAGTGAGGAAACAGGCTGTTGATTGGGTTTGGAAGGAAGAAGACAGATTTCAGGTAAAAAAGCAGCTACAGAAATGGTTCTGTGGCTAAAGTACTCAGAGATGGCTTGTAGTGGGAGAAAAGTATTTAGGCAAGGATAGCGCCTCCTGATACTTATGTTAAAATAAATGG